GGTACTCATCTCTGTTTCCTAGTCAAGGCTGAAGCTTCCATGGGCATGACTATATGTCAAGGTGCATGGAATGCTGTTAATTTTTCACCAAAGTGGTACTTATTTATCTATTTACATTCGCATACTTTCGAACATTTAGGTTCTCAAGAGCTGAGGCAAGAACGGAAGCTCACCCTGTCCTGTGGTATTAGGATCTCAAATGGCCAACCTTCCAGTCAATGAGCCCAGCATCTTAACCATGAGACAACAACCTTCCATCTAGACCTTCTATAGGGAAAATTATGTGACCTTTTCAATCTCTAACAACTCTCCTATTTGCAACTTTCCAATAAGATGTTATATCAGGAAATGATCAAACAAATAGCTCCCATAAACTGAGCAATTAACTATCAGTCTTTGAAAAAAAAAAAAAGGATTCCTTCTCTACAATTATCCGATAAAAGTCATGACACTGTCATATGTTCTAGTTAACACATAACAAGTTCATTATTTCAGACTTTTAACTTTCTCTGTCTCTGTCTCTGTCTCTCTCTCATGAACCCCAAACAAAAAGAAACACTGAAGCAAAAATATATTGATATACAATACTGTAAATTGAGGCTATTAAGTAGCATAGGATGATTAACACTAAACAAAGATTTTGCCAGAGGGAACGCTAACAAGCATGAGAAAAACAAATCTTGCTTTCATTTATTTTTTCCTGTCAATTGAACTTTCTCCAATCTAGATGATATGACATCTTAGTTTAAAACTTGCCCTAGTTTTCATTTCATGCCTTTTCCAAATTACTCTTAAGAATCCAAAATGTGACGGATATATATGAGACCTGATATGAGCTCAGACACACAAATACAGTGGAGCAATGATCAGTCAGAATGAATAATCAGAGCAATAAATTTTTATCTTTTCTCCAAGAAGCATTAAATAATTCATAAAATCAGTGATGAAAATGACTGAATCTTAGCTTTGTAAAATCCTTTTGCAAATTAGGATGAAGGCAAGACACGTAAAATATGTACCTTGCTAAAATTTACATATCAAGGCACCATAAAAATAGCAGATGATGAGAGAGACTAAGCCTGTGAAGACAGATGCACAAAATAAGTTGGCTTAATACCTAACCCTGTTCAGTTTCATGCATACTTCAATAATTATGAAAACAGCCTTCAGTGCCCAAAGTAGAACCCTTTTAAAGAAACTCATTAACCACCTAACTATACTGTAAACAGTGTCAACTAGAATACAGGCTAACCTAGGTCCTCATCTATAGAAATCTGATCAAAGTCTTTGAAGGTGGCTCTGGTTCACCTCAAAGGAATTCAAGAATTCTTACTAAGTAACACAATCCTTCTAGAAAAACAAAATGCTCCTTCTCAAGCACTCAAAGAGAAAACCAACAGGACAATATTAATCTCATCTCTTCTGGCTGGAAGGCAAACCTCAACTTGTATTTATTTATTTTTAATTCAGCTATCCAAGAGAGGCTAACCCCTCCGAATCAGTCTTAGCTGTCTCCTGAAGAAGAATGGGTTATTCGTGGTTCTATTTTAGATCTGAAGAATCCAAAAATGGGAGGGAGAGAAACAGCAAGGAAGAGAATAACCATAAGATGAAGAAGAGAAGAGATACTTTTAGAAATGAAGATGGCGCCAAACACCCTGGCAGAGAAAGATCTATATATCTTATCTTTTCCCTTTCCTGCCTCCCCTTCTCCACCCCCCAGCCTTTTCCTTGTAGCATTGGCAAGACTTCAGAGGGCGATGACAGCAACCAGAGACCTGGTGTCATCACTCTGTTTTTGTTCCACACCATCTCTTTGATTCCTATTCCAGAAACAAAACCCTGCCGATCCCAGCTGTGACTGACAAAGCCAGTTCCTTGTTCTGGTGACTAGAGTCAGACAGTCTGACAAGAGAGATGCCATTTAGACAGCTGAATAGAGAGCAGCTGACCACAGGCTGGGGAAGACACCGTCAGTCCTGTTCAGTCCAAGGCCAATAGTCCCAGTTAGGAATGCCAATTAATTACCTGAAACTGAGGGCAGTTTTGTTTGGCACTGATGGACCTGGAGTCTCTGATGAGGGGAAGAGTTATTCAGATAAAAAGAAGATCACAACAAAGGCCTACATTGTGACATAAGGAAGACCCTCCAGAAGGATATGGACAGATGCAGACAGGTATTTAACCACCATGTTGGCAGAATAGAACAAGGTGTTTTTCATGGAGTAAGGATACTACACTCAGAGATATTCCAGAAAGTATTGAAAGACAGAAAGTCTGCTTAGCTAACCTATTTGCAACAGTGACAGTAATGGTCAGCAGGTAGCTTAGTTATATATTCTCCTGTTTCTGGAACAGGAGAGGGAATGGATACACCAATGCTAGGGTTCTCCACACTTTTTCTTCCAAATACTAATTCTGCCCAATATACCATAAATGATAATGTTTCTCGGGATGCCAGTAAGCTTGTTTATCCCATTCTGTTCCAGGAAGTAATTGTTTTAAGCAGTAATGAAAATGAAAATAATCACCACCACCCTTTTTTTACGGCACCTGCCAATGCAAACAGATATGCTGAGCCAATAACTAATTCCTCATCTAGATCCAGAGTGGTTATGACTTTGTGCCTAGACATTGAACAGAGGCATTTGTTGAATACCAGCCAACTAGAGTAAACAGTAGAGATCTTGTTTCCAAACATTCTGTCACAAGGAAGATCTATCAGAATAGTTGATGGGCATTCAAGCAATGTTCTAGGAGGAGGAACCTTGTGACAATGATAATGGAATTCTGGACATTATAGGTTTCTTATAAACCAGACTGAACAAGAAAATGGCAGCAAATACCTTGTGAGGGAGGGCATAATTTTGACTCTGTCCTTCATTGGTATGCTCTGTTCTATTAACTGATTTTCCCCCCATATTTGTAATCATCAGCTCAAAACATTAATTTGTAACTCTTGCCCAATTCTCCAACGCAAAGGATTGGATGCCATGCATTTCAAGAATGTTCAGAACATCTTCTGTTTGGCTGGATTCAGATAACTATATTTTTGGGTGGAATTATTATTAGCAACATTACAAAACAAATATCTGACACTGTGTTCATTTCATTGACACTGTTCTTCTCATTCTCAGTTAAAGCCATTTACTGATGCCTTCACATAATCAAATGTATGCTGCATTGCCTTTTATGCTCCTTGCTGTATGATACCTGGTTACATGCAAGAAAAAGTGCCTTTATATGCAAGCCATTTATAAACTAAGGAGAATAGGACAAGAAAATCCCATTGATGATGTTACCTAGTTTGGTAATGAAACACTGAAATAAGCTTGGAGAACAAACCACTGCCAAAATCTAAAACCTGAGCTACAAGTATTTTCTATTATTTCAAAGTGCCTTCATATTCAATTACCTTTGTTTTCTCCCAATGACCATAATTAAAATAGCCAAATCTTATTGGGTATGCAACATTTGATATCATATTCATTATGCGAATCTCCAATCTCCAGATACCCTATATTAATACTTTAAAAAGTAAATAAGGAAAAGTTGCTTAGAAGCAAACAGCAAATATGATGGCAAAAATTAATATTGTTGTATTATTTAAACATTAATGCCCAAAGTATGACATATGCAAACACAGTGTTTTAGAAAAGATTTCTATTCGTCAAATTGCTATTTTCACACTGAAAATTTAAACTAGGGAATATTAAACATCTAACCATATGTTAATATTGCAAGTCAAAACTCTTCACCTCATATAAATTTACATTAGGAAATCCTTTCCTTCTTTTTTTATTACTGGTGTGAGTGGTGTTCCTTGAGCAATCAAAGCATAAGTTATGCAAGTCTCCAAAATACATAGAAATAACTGTGTGAAAGTGATTTAAGAAAAACTTAAAACAGTTCAATAGGGACTGAGCTTACTCAATATAGGAAAGGGAACAGAAGACAGTATCAATGTATAGCACCAAAAATGATTTACTTTCTTACTTGCTTGAGATTATAGGCAGCTCCTAACATGAGACTTTGAGTAGCTAACAATTCCCCAACAAAACAATGTTAAACTACAAACATGTGATTGAAAATTAACATTAAACAACAGTCAAATAAAAGCCAAGAACTGGCATTTGTTTTTTTCATGAGTTCAGGAGCAACTCAAATATCTATGGTATCCTCAAATGCTTTACAAAAAAGCCAGGTCTCTGAAATACAACAGGGATGGGACCATATAGCACTTAGCATTTAGACTTATATACCACTTTACAGTGCTTTACAGCCCTCTCTAAGCGGTTTACAGAGTCAGCATATTGCCCCCAACAATCTGGGTCCTCATTTTACCGACCTCAGAAGGATGGAAGGCTGAGTCAACTTTGAGCAGGTGAGAATCGAACTGCCAAACTGCTGACAGCCGGCAGTTAGCCAGAAGTAGCCTGCAGTACTGCATTCTAACCACTGTGCCATCACATCCTGGATAAACTGTTCCAGAGAAAGGGAAAACCAGCCTATCACTGATATTCTCAGGGATGATACCCATAA